AAATTTAATCTTTTCAGGAATAATAATCTAACCAGCAATCCTCTGACATATAAACACCAATTTATGCTATTTATATATGTATATCTATATCTATAAGTAAATTGTGTTCATTGAGGGGTTATTTCTCATTGTCTGATGTATGTTGGGTTGTCTGATCAGAATCCAGAGATGCTGTAAAGAAAGCTTTTCATCTCTCTGCATAATGAAACACCATCTTGCAGTCTGTGAATGCACAGGCAGTTAGCTGAAGTGTTTACCTTTGAACTTTCCACTCTCGAGCAGCGCTCCCGATTCGTCCAAAGAGAAAAACTCCTCAATAGAGACAAAGTTGTAGTCTACCCCTGAGATTTCCCCCTCTCTGGGCTGTCTGGTTGTACCTAGGAGAGAAGAAAAAAACCCAAATTATTATGTCGTACATCAGCATCACAGGGCTCAATACACCATCAGTTCTGACATGGATGATGTATCAGTTAATCAAGACCCTTTCCTCTCGTCAGGGGTCATCAATCTGAGTTCGGTGTTGAAAAAAAATTGCAAATCAGCAGGTTATAAATAGCTTAGGATTACATAAGTACATAAGTTTGACAAAATAGATGAAATATGAAACAAGCCTATCGCTCTATACAAGATTAATTTTGCTGGTTAATTCAGAGCAGTGTCAAAAATAGTCTAAAAAGTAGAAATGGAGAGAAACTACAACATGCATTGATCATTACAACCAGACGGACATTTGCAGATTGCAAATCAATGCAAATTTGCATTGATGCAGCTCTGCAGCAAAATGTAACACCGCTTCTAATTCACCACTAAGTTTCGTGAAATTTGGCAGGGTGGATTTCTCTTGTTAGGAAACAAATACACAAACAACTCTAAGCCCCAACCTGTGCGCTGGCTCTCTCCTTGGCAGAGAAATAACCAAGTCGGCTATTCTTTTCTTTTTTTTTCTTTAATAAAAGGATTTCCACGTCGTTGTAAAAGCAGCCCAAGGTGAACAGAGCGTCCACAAACCAAACTTTACCCTTCGGCATGAAAAGCACAATGATGACAAAAGGCATTTACCAAGGCCTCTTTATTATAAACAGATCAATAAGAACCGAATTAAACATTAATGAGGCACTGAGAAAGTCTTAAAGCCGCTCTATCACCATTGTGAAGATGGAGCACTCAGATGATCAATGGTCTGTCATCATAATTGATTCACATTGACCTTGGCCTGGAAGAGAACGGTGAGTCCAAGCCATGGCAGTAAAAGCATCCTGTGTCGTTGTGGGATCACTGAGGTAACGCTGTGTGCGTGCTGTATTTTAACCCCAGTGCCAAATCTCCAACCAATTAAACACAAGTACAGACATGTGGTGTGAAAAATATCACACCACACACCACAAAATTATCTTTCGCAAATCCAGTGGTGTAATTTTAATTTGCAAATTGAACACTGTGGCACCCACACTGACCTTGAAACAATTAATTCACTTCCCAAGACACAAAAAAAAAAAAAAAAAAAAAACCCAAACAAAAAAATCCCCAACCAAAGCCAAAGTAAGGACAAATCTCTGTCCTTCTCCTAGAGGACCATATATGATGTCTGTGGATCCAGCAGGAGGGAGTCATACCCAGCTACCCTATAAAACCCATGATTAATGCACTGCTGTCCTGGGAGCAGCTCTCGCAGCCACAATGACACATACAGGACTTTATGCACACAAGTGCACACAAAGCCCCACAATGAGCCCTCACACACTCTGCAGCCAATTCACCCATGTAGTCACAGAGGCACCACACATTAGAGAGCATGAGGAATCTCCATCAGCCTGACCTGCTCTTTCTGAAGCGTAAAATGTATCTAAAAGTAACCTATGATGCTGCTCATTATTTACTGTCATATAACTACTGTTACACTGGCAGGCTCTCATACCAAACATGGAAAATGTTAAAAAATTATGAGTTCCAAGTATGTATAAGAAATCCTGGGTTTCAGACCGCTCTAAGCACTTGGCTTTAGACATATTCAAGGTTAACAATTTTAATTTGATCATCAGACATTAAAACATCAGCCCCACCCATCCATCTTCTGTTTCCAGGGGCAACCAATCAGAAGAAAGCCTGCCTCAGAGGGAGGGGGGCTTAAAGGCAGGGGAGCTAATCAAGACAAGAGATAAAATGAGAGGCTGAACCAAAGCACAGTATCACATGAAACCTGATTTTTTAAAAACTGTGCATGCAAAGCTGCTGCAATATAGTACAAAAACAATAATATGCAGAACAGGTCAACTGTAGCATAAAGGCTACTGACAAACAGTCAACAGTCAGACAGTCATTGTAGCTCTTACTGAAAACATCACCTACCTCACTGCCATAGTTATTATTAAACTCAGCATAAGTCATAAGTCAACTTGAGAGTCAGCTTGGTAGGATGTGAGCTCAGGTTAAGCCTGAGAGAGACAAAAAACAAATCAGGAGGTTTGCCCACAAAAAAACAAAAACAACTTTTAAACAGGATTTATTTTTAAACTGCCCCACAGACGTGATAGATCTGTGTTACTGATCTTCTCTTCTGAAGCCACAATCACAAAGGACCAGAATTACCCAGAGTCAAAAGTCAAATTTCAGCCACAAATTACCTACTATACTTTGTCAGCCACTGAGGTTCCAAGATAATATTAGTCCAGTGTGAATCAGCATCACTGTGATTTGGGTTTGTTTTTTACATTCCCTACACCTTTTCTTTTTCATCTTTCCTAGAAGCTGGTTTACAAGCAGACTAGCTAGAACAGCTTGTTTCTAACTGAGGATGAGCAAAGGCAAGTATAAGATAAATATAAGGATTATTTCAAACTGTGAGCCATGCAAAGCTACTGTCATGTAGCGCAAAAAGTACAAGATGGAGTTGGAAATTGGCACAATAGGTCCCCTTTAATGAACAGTATATGCTCAAATCACTTATGCACTTCTATATCGGTTTGGTTTCATGCCTGTTGGGCTAACCTCTTTTTTTGTGTTTTACTTCCACATGTTGAGTTTTCCAGTATGTGGCTTACTGTCAGTGTTGGGGAGTAACGGAATACATGTACCGCCGTTACGTATTTAAAATACAAAATATGAGTAACTGTATT